CAAGCCGTTGTTGTTGTTCCACTATTCGTATTACGTTATTTACGGTTTCTTGTCCTCCCCTCACTGTCTGGAATTCGCGACTCTGCGTTGCCAAATTTCTGTCTGGTCAATACACGCTCAGTACTTCTGCTGCCAACTGTCTCCACTTGTCCCCAGCCCTCCGAACAGCCTCTGGTCGCAATGGGCTCTGGGGGTTTATCCTCAGGTACGCTCCTGCTTTCAGTCCGTCTGTCTCTTTCGCATTTGGAACGCACCGACCAGCCAGCTGGCTTCCCTCTTCTAACTGTTGTTTCTTCTCTGTCCTGAATACTGACTCCGCCCCTTTGTGTGTCTGATGTCCTATTTATTTTTTGTGTTTCTATAATATCCTACCCTTTCTTATGTATGTCATTATCCTGTTTTGTCTGTATTCTGAATTATGCAGAATATGCTTTCCTACATTATGTTTTATCCTGTCTGTCCTGTGCTGTCAATTCTGTCTTCTGGAATAACATATATTAAAATAGATTGCTGCTTTGTACCCTTCTCAAATGTCCATATACCATCCTTTTTTTTCTGTGTGTTTCCCCCATCTGTTCTCTGATTTTATTATATTCACCCTATAATATCCAGTATTTTCTTATTTATATCATTCTCTCTGTTCTTGTGGTTAAGCTGTTTATCATTTTATTTCTTTCATCCTTTTTAAGCTCCTGTCCACCCTTCACAAATCGTTATATTTCATCTTATTTATTCTGTGTATTTTCTCATATCCATTCTGTGTTCTCATCTGTCAGAGTTATTTTATTCTGCCCTTATTTATGTAGTTTTATCCTGTTCTGTGCATTTTATTATAAGTCTTATAGTCTGTCTAGATCTTATTTTTTATCTAATCTATTTTTTCCTTTAATCAGTTTATCCTAAAATTTTTATCTTTTTACATAAGGTAACATTTAAAAAATATACAGTCATTGCTTCCTTATCGTCCCCACATCACAGTTCATAAATATTTTCATTTATTTCCTCCAGTAGTCTCACACTGTAATAGATATGAACATTGTTTCTTAGTTTGTCTTCATCTTTGAAGATGGAGTCTCTGAAATGTTGGTAGCTACCTGCAAGCCCACATGATGTTACAACCCAGAAGACCAATATCAACATCTCCATTGTGAGAACCTCTGTCTTATGTTCCTTAGGTTCAATGGCTGTATCGGCTACAGATGTTATGTAGCATAAAATCAGAATCAGCATAATTAAATAACTTGATGAGAGGAACTTGCCTCCGTCAAGGACAGCAATGGCTACAGCAATGCAGCCGTAATTACTAATTGTTTCAGGGGAACACATCAGGAACTGGCGCTCCCGCTACTTTGTGCTGCTTGATGATGGCTCGTTGATCGGCTTCAAGACGAAGCCAGAGCATAACCTGAGCGATCCACTCAACAACTTCACTGTGAAAGGCTGTCAGATCATGACTTCTGACCGCCCCAAGCCCTATACATTTCTCATACGAGGTCTGCAGTGGACCACTGTCATCGAGCGAACATTTCACGTTGAATCAGACAAGGAGAGGTGCGGATTGATAGATATTCTTGAAACGTAGCCATACCTCAAAGGAGAGTGTACAGTAGCTGATATCGTTGAAAAGAAATATGAAGTTCTGAAAACAAAGTAAACTAAGCTAAACTTGTATTACACTGGCTTTACTAAATTTACATTCTGAAGAACATAAAAACTGACATCAGTGTATGATGTAAGATTTGGAGTTCTCACCGCAGGGAAGATTGTTAGTCTAGTTCTGGGTTGTGATGCCATGTGGACTCATAGGTAGATTCTGACATATGAAAATGGAGCCGTGCTTCTCTGAAACGTCGGTATCTACATATGAGTCCGCATGGCGTCACATCCCAGAAGAACGTGAGCATTTGGGTGTTTGATGTTTGTTTAGGGAGGACTGGGTTGTTGCAATTCGCTATGTGGCTGACCGATTGGCAGAGTCAGAAGATGTTGACATGGCATCTGCTGACCGCACAGGCCAGTGTAGTGATGGTTATGATGTGTCAACTATAGATGAACTGAGTGCGAAGTTTTCGGTGCAGGGCACGTCCAGTAGCAAATCATCTGGCAAGAAGAAAGTGGTATGTGTTTATCAAACATTAGATTAAACTATTTTTACATAGTGAAATATTTTGTTACTTGTAATCAGTTGAAGACATTAACAATTTACATACATAGGAATAATAATTACAAAATGAGTTTAAACATAGTAGGTTAGCTTATCAGTAATGCTTATGACTTTAATGATGTGTGTAGTGTTTTTCTCAGGCTTTCTGGCTGAATGACTGGACGGTAGTTCAAAATAGGTCATCTACTCCAAGGCTTATTCCTTTCTGGTTTACCATGTGTAGTCCTTTTCGTCAATTGATGCAGAATGCCAACAGTTTGAATGGAATTATAAAGTAACATCTTAACTGACCACATTTAAATAACAATAACATATAGTATTATTCCTGTGTTGTCAGCTCATCGCAATCTCCAACTGTCTTACAAGAACAGGAATGTTGTATTTGCAGTTGTAGCAGAGTATATTAAATGCCAAATTTGGTTTTCTTATGTATTTATAGTTGGTGTTGTTGTCAGTGTTAAAGCTTATGATCTGTAACTTTTGATAAGGTAATGTATCAAATGCACACTTAACACCATCTACATACTGGATGGTTTTAACAGAAAGGTGGTTTGAATTGTCCATCATCCAAATTTAAAAGCTGTTGAAAAAAAGAGTATTTGCTATATCTCCTGTACATACACCACATACAAATCACAATATATATTTTGAATAAAGGATCAGTTTTGAATGTTGATTGCTGTTGGCTCACATGTTGTCTGGTTCTACCATAATTTTTGGTAATTCACCCTGTTGTCCTTCTTTTACCCTTCATATCTCGTCTGTGACCGTGTTGAACCAAATAGGAAGTAACACACCTCTACACATTTATTATGTATTTTGTATGAGAATAAATTATGCAATAAGTTTAGTGTGTTGTGCATGAATCTTTTAAATCCTTTTCTTTCTGCATTCTAGACACTAGAGAACTTTGAATTCCTCAAGGTGCTAGGAAAGGGCACATTTGGCAAGGTAATATTGTGCCGCGAGAAGGCAACAGGCCACTTGTACGCCATCAAGATTCTCAAGAAAGAGGTCATCATTCAAAAAGACGAAGTTGCGCACACCCTCACCGAGAACAGGGTCCTGCGAACCACAAATCATCCTTTTCTTATAGTAAGTACTGACAAATACCAGTTATGGCTCATGAGGAAGAAGTTCTCAGCTTTGTAAATTGTTGCCTTTGAGAAATCTGCAAATGACATTGAAATCTCTCGGTACCATTTCAAAAGTCCTGGTTTACATCCAACATATAATTTTGGTCATTAGACAGCATTGATACAGAAGGAATTGAAATATGCTATATTGCTTAGCAACTTCATGTATCTTTTTATATATATATAGAAGTAGGCTGCAATTGTTTTATTGCAACATACATGTGTACGCACATACTTATATACAAAGTGAAATCTGTGCTTATGCTCATCTGTTTGTTTCCAGTCACTCAAGTACTCGTTCCAAACTGCAGATCGCCTGTGTTTTGTCATGGAGTATGTGAACGGAGGAGAACTGTTCTTCCATTTGTCGAGAGAACGTGTTTTTACTGAGGAAAGAACTCGGTTCTACGGTGCAGAGATCATCTCAGCGCTTGGATACCTCCATGAGGAAGGAATCATTTATAGAGACCTCAAGGTGAGGTTATGTTATTCAAAAATGATATGAGAATTGAAATGAAAGGCAAGTTGCAGACAGTCCTCATTTCTAAATGTTTTACTTGTGTCATTGCATGTTATTAGAATCTTTTGGAAGATTGGATTCAGCAGAGTTAGATTTGTTTAGAGTGATAGCATCGAAACACATGAATTTAGAAATGTGTGATTTAAATTTTTAATGTTTATGGAATAAAAAAATGCATGTTTTGTCCAGAAACCTAGTAGAACTAACTACTGAAGCAAAGCCCATGTTCAGAAGTTTATTAAGTAAATTGTGTATTTTCTGATGTAAGTGATCATTTTACTCTTACAAACAACATTTTGTAACATGTACTCTGTTTTATTGGCAGCTGGAAAATCTGCTTTTGGACAAGGATGGACACATCAAGATTGCAGACTTTGGACTCTGTAAGGAAGACATCACATATGGTAGAACCACCAAAACTTTCTGTGGGACTCCAGAGTACCTTGCCCCAGAAGTAAGTGATTGTGATGTTGGCCACTCTCATTTTCTGTTTTTTTCCCTTTAGAGTGCTGTGATTGTGGCCTTCTGCTTTGTAAGGGGGGGGGGGGCAGTATGTTTCTCTCACCCCATCCGTGTAATGAACTCCAGAATAATTACTTTTTTTTAAGCAGCCCTTAGTAGACACTGATTTGACATGTTCAGTGTAAAGTGTTCTTATAGTTTTATCTAACTTTTGTTAACGTGTTACGATACGTTGTCTCTATCGCTCTGATAGCGTTATGCTCTTATGTTGCCTGTTACTGAATTTATAATGTAAAATGGTGTTATTGAAGAGTGGCATATTTTTAACTGACTTTAAACTAAAAATATATAAGTAAAGGGTGCAAAAATGGAGAAATTGCTGTATTCGGTTACATTACTCATATAATATTTCGTTGTAAATGAAATAATCACTGATGAGTAGGAAATAATTTGTTAATTTAAATATTGCTTGCAGGTTCTGGATGACAATGACTATGGACGAGCAGTGGACTGGTGGGGTATCGGTGTTGTGATGTATGAAATGATGTGTGGACGTCTGCCATTTTACAACCGGGATCATGATGTTCTGTTCCAGCTCATACTCATGGAGGAGGTAAGTAGATTAATTTCCAATTCCTATCATAGTGCCAACTTTCCATTGTATGTTCTTGGCTCTTCAGCAGAATGTAATTTGCTCCTCTGTAGAATGAAAGTCACTATAAAATTATTTAATCGAAGAACTTATTTAAGAATTCTATTTCAGATTTCAGAATTGCTTGGTGTGCTCACGCCAGACATGAATATTAATTCAAAGGATTTTTATGTTGACGCATTGTTACAGGTCAAGTTCCCACGCACAATCTCAAATGAAGCCAAGGATATGCTCGGGGGTTTACTGGTTAAGGACCCAAACAAAAGACTTGGAGGTGGACCAGATGATGCAAAAGAAATCATGGCACACCCGTTTTTTAGTTACATCAATTGGACTGACTTGCAGCAAAAGAAAGTGAGTATTTTATGGCTGTTATTTATCAGTTATGTTTTGGTTGAAGAATTTATTTCTGCATCAATATCAAAATTGGAATGTTGCAATGTAGATGAGTAGAGATGGATACATATAAACTTATTTAAGAAATTAATTTGTGTTCTGTTTGTTTATAATTTTGTATGCTTAATACACCTCAGAATTTTGCATGTAGTCTTGATTTTCTGTTAGTAGGAAGTTAATGAAATTGGATAATTCCAACAAAGAAACTGTAAATTAAATATTTTACATGTGAGTACATTAGAGGTTTTTATTCACGTTTTTGACTTCCAAGACTGGAGACTTTAAACTGAATTTGTTTTGTAACAATAATGGAAAATAATTGTAATTGTAACTATAATCCATCCTTTACTGAGTTTCAATTATATGTGTGCATGTTTATTTATTTATTTATTTATTCTGCGCTGTGTTGAGAGCCTTAGTTGTACTTGCACTGGTGTTTCAGTCATGCGTTTATGAATGTCTGTGCTGTTTTCAGATCCCACCGCCTTTTAAGCCTCAGGTGACTTCAGACACAGACACGCGGTATTTTGACTCAGAATTTACAGGTGAGTCTGTAGAACTGACACCTCCAGAAAACCCTGGGCCTCTCAACAGTATCGCAGAAGAGTTGGAACAACCATACTTCCAACAGTTCAGCTACCAGGATCTGGGTTCGACGCTCGGAAGCTCCGCTGCGATTAGTGCCAGTAGCAGCTCTCTTGCTCACAGTGCCACCATGCAGTGAATGTGTGAACAGTTTTGTGTGGTTGGCAGTATGGTGTGATTGTTTTAATGAGAGGCAAGCTTAAAAAATGTGATGAGTCCCATTTGTTAGCAATTTGCTTTGCTAAAACATTTTATAGAAGAGTTGCTTAATACACTTAGTTTTACATACAAACTGTGCAATGTGAATTCTATACCGGTGACTGCTGATTGAGAAACATTGGAGTGTCTCATAGATCATAATAATTTTAACAGAATCTGCTTTGCTGCATAATGGAACTATGCATCATTCTCAAACTATGGAGAAATGACAGGTGGCAAACATTTGATAATTATTATCTTGAAGGCCTAAGTGAAGCCGTTGTCTATTGTACATAAAATGTGAATAGTGTCAAGACTGCATTGTGTATGAAACAAGTGAATGGTGTTGAAGGTAGACTGAGAGTTTTGGTAGTTCATCTGGATGCAGCCAACTTCAGTCCCAACATTACTAGTACTGTTTTAATTTTATTTTATCTTCTGTTTTCTTTCTCCGGTGTCTGTGATCATTTATTTGCTTTTACAACATTTTTCAGAAGACTTTTGCCCATCCCACAGGAAGAAGTTCTTTCCAGTTTTGCCTGGTGAGACATTGCATCTTTGAGATAATTGTCACAGTAGTGTTTAATTTCTGTAGTAGTGGGTGTGTTATGTACCTGAAATTTAGCAAAGATTTCTTGTAAGACATATTTAAGTTGACAATTTATTGTTTCCTTCTCAATAACAACAGAATCCTAAGGGATGCAGGTATCCACCATATTAGTACAGCTAATACAAGTGAAGCAATTTTAAAGGCATCATAAGTTGTACACTGAATCAAGAGCCCCATCTATTCGTATCCAAAATTGTGAACATTTTATTTCTGTAGTACTGTGATTATTCATAAATATTTTCCTGGTAGCGTGGAACTCAAAGTTTCATCACTACAGCCACAAAAAATGCCGCTGAATTACGACTTGAGCCCTAGAAAGTAAGCGTTCAAGTTGTCACTGTGCTTAAGCACTATGTCATGAGGGCATGTAGGAGAGTGGAAGTGCCCCCTACCCTCCGAAGGAAATAGCATCAAGTATCCATTGGATAAGGGGCTGGGTGGGACAAGAATCAACCCCCTTTGTTAGTCACTCTACTAATAAAGTTATCCTGACTTGTATTTATAGAGTCCAAACAAAATTTTGTTCTCCCACTGAAATGATGGTTATGTGTCCTAGAAGTTGAAGAGACGTGTGTTCGTATAGATTCATATTGTAATAATTCTTCCACTTTGCATTTGAGCATAAATGTGTCATTTCCAGGAAATGAGTACAAGAAATTCATTTTGCTATGGGTGTAATACTGTTGGCATGAGATTTATTTTAGCCAGATTCTCTCATGTCACACTAATACAAACTAAATTGGTACTTTTCTAAAATTGTAATTCTTTCTGCCAGTTCCTGAAATATAATTGATGTTTGTGTGATTGTTTCTTTATGCCATGAATCCTTTTATTTCATTTGACAAAAAAATGGGATAATAACACATATTAGAGCGTAGAATATTTATTAGAGATCTGTATGTTAGAAGTTTTATTTCGGAAGACATTTGAAAATGTCATATTCATTTGCTTACGAATATGCACCAAAGAAATCCCATTTCTGTTGCCTAAATTCATATTGTCCTTAAATTGAATTATTTGATTGTTAATTCAGGAATGAAAATGTAACATAAAATTTAGAATTTCATTTGACATTCCTTTTATCAACACTTAATAATATGACAAGAAATATTTACTGTATTGAATTTTATGAGTACCTTTCTCTAAAGCTTTATTGGGCTTTTGAATCTGGGCTATTGTGAAACAATAGTTGGCAGGTTGTGAGAAACTGAACAGTGCAAGAGTAAATAACTCCATTAGAGCATAGTTATTCTTCAGAGGCTGACAGTCACTCGGCTAGTCGAGAAACTCCCCACTTTCTGTGGGCTCAGATGTTTATTATTGTGTTCATAAGAACCTGTAAGATTAGTGAGGTAAAACCAGAAATCTTATATATGCTTTGAAGTAATATAAAAACTGATCATTTTATTTCAACCAGAAGCATTATTTTGGCTTTAATTTCAGTTGTCCCAGTTAACATGGAACCTGCCATGACGACATGCTGCAGTCGCAGTAAGCAAACTACTGGGAAGTGATTTAGTCACAATGCAGAGCATACTTGTCACATGCTAATAGGTGGGTTCCAAGTTATGTGGGACACCGTCATTCCTCATATGAGTTCTACTTCACATTTGGCGTAACTGTCTTCAAGGAGTCGTCAAATTTTTACATGTGTCCATATTTGTGAATTTTTGTTATTTCTGCATTTCAGAAATAATGTATTGAATTATGGATGTCATGTGTAACGTATGCTTGTCGTCTGGGTAGAACACTAGGGGAGAACATTAAGGAATATACTTTAAACATAATGATGAGAACATGTCCCATACATCTTTGACATTATGCAATACATATTTTTGTAATTGTAACTGAAATGCAGATGCTGCATAAGTAAAAAAGATTTTTTTTAATGTTTCTGCTATGAAAATGTTTATGGAATTCTTAGAACTGACTGTGAAATATGAAGTACTTTTTTATGTTTATGAGGTAACCAGTGGATGAAGCTGTGGTATTCTCTTAGCTTATTTAGAATTCTGAGTTTCCTTACATAAAAGGATTTTTTAGACAAAAATTGTGAGTAATTTTAAGAGATATTTAAAGAAATGTTTCTTTTGAGAATGTGTAATGAAATCATAATTTTAAGAAAATTTATTTGTTTTTACTGTGAATAGTTTATAAAGAAATGGATAAATTGGTTGAACTGTGTAACACTAAGAGATGAGGCATGCTGTTGTCATTTCTAATGAGGTTCAAAAACAACTTGTTACGTCTGTGACTGTCTGAAAGTCGAGCTTGTTGTGCCGTCTACAATTCTCTTATTAAATATTCTAGTGCCAGTGATTATGACTAAAATTTTACAGTTTAATATGGTTCTCTTGGACTTGTGAAAAATCAAACTAACAGCATATCACTATGTTTTCCTCTGCATGATTTTATGGTCACTACAGATTGCCTTAAACATTTCCAAATTTTATTTATTGCTACATATTAGAAGTTGTTTTGCATTATGACAAATACAGTATCAGTTTTATTATTAGCAAGAATACATCGAGAACACCGTGGAGTATTGACTGTGTTGGTTGTCTAAAAGCAAGGTTAATCTTTTGGAAATATTCCCCCCCTTGATTTTTTTCCTTCTTATTTTCTTGTCTATTCCTTATCACGTTATCGGTTTGTGTTTTACAGCATTGTGTAGGATGCAATGTATACAAACAATATTGGATTAATGGTTCCTGAAACATTATGTAACACCTGTTTGTAAAGTACGTAGTATAAGGCAGGGTTGAGTTCTTTCAATCAATCTGAGATGTATAAATGATTTAGACCTTCCTTTCTAAGTATTGTAAAACTGTGTGCCTGTGCTATTTTTCTTAGTTAGCTTTACCTGGCTAATAATATATAGTAGGGATTACAAGTTGCTTGTCTCATGTGTTTCATTTCACAAGACTTTGTATCCATAGTGCAGCGACCTTAGACAATCTGCAGCATCATTGTATGGATCAGCCTTCTACTGCTGTTAGTATTCTCTGAAATGTCTTTAGTGGGATCACACATTTTTCAGAATATTCCATATAAACTTACACATTTTCTCCACTTTTGATATGTTAATTTTAGAATGCTGGTAGAGGGAAATGTGTGAGAATTTTTTACGCGTGACTGTCATGTAAAATATTGCTTCTTTTTTTGCCAAAAATTCTCACAGTGCAGATTATGTTCATATTATTGCAGTTGTGTTGAGTGAGATGCAAGATACCAGTTCTTCTCGTGTGTTTATTTAGTGAACAAACCATACTGACATGTATTAATATTATATGGCTTTTTCAGAAACAATTGCATGTGTCGTAAGAGGGCATCACATCTTAATAGTTGTGAGCATTTGTGAAGTATGCTTTGATATTATTTAGCCTAATGTCAGAAATAATTATAATGAATCATGCTATACTTTTCTGAGGCTGAAAATGGCTGCATAGGAGATAGGTATCATTTATCACGGTATAAACATTCTTGCTGTATCATGTGTTAGTACTCTCTCGCAGTGTTATAATACACTTTACCGATGGCAGTAAAGCGCTGGATTTCCGGACAGGAACTAAGAATGTATACTGTAATGGATAAATGACAGGAATATTTTTTTTATACTTATATGCTATCAGCAGTTCCAGTGTGGTAGAGGGTGAAAGAAAAGTATTAACTACAGATGTACAGCTTCAAAGATGAATTAAAACTGAGGTGGACCGGAGGTAGGAATTATGTAAGGTGAAAATAAAAATATTTTTTTCCCCTCACAAATTGAGAAAAGAGGAGTTTTAAATTGGTCACCCAAGCCAGTAGGTAACTAGCAGCCTTCTTTTAAGGTTACCAGAGAGTTCCTAGAAGTCCTCTTCATCTTAATTCAATTTTAATTTTGGAGTGTGGGTTACATTAGTGCTTTTTATCTTAGTAATGTATTCTGAAGACAACTTGAAATTGAGATTTGTTTATGATTTTGAGGATTTTATGTTGCCATAAAAAATGAAAACAATTTGTCATGTTTTTCCAGAATTGTTTTATGTGTTATGACTAGAATATTGTAACTGTACCATATCACTGACACGAGGTTCTGTCTGTTTTGAATGAAGCTGGAATAACTCAAATTTAATTTTCATTCCTGAAATAGTCTCAGTTATATTTTTTAACTTGATAATCATATTTATTCTGAGTGTAACTAGTTGACTAAGATTGTCATTTCTTTCTGATACCTACTGTATAATGCTTATATTAGCTCTTTGAACTAATTACAGTAGTGGTATTTGCACATAATATCCAGAGTCTGTAAATTGATATCATGGGCAGATGACCAGTATTCAATGCCAGGAATTTCTGCATTGTATCCAGACTGGCTCTTGGGATCTACCCAGTTTCCTATCCCATGCATGTTTCGATTTCTTTCCCATTGGCATAAGCATTTGGAGTGTGAATTTTGCCACACACATACGTGTATATCTGCTTATAGGGGCTACTTTACCTTGTTCATCCAATGAAATACAGAAAAACATGTCAAAGTGACCATGTTAAACCTAAAGATTATCTTCGATGAGGTACAGAAAAGGTAAGGGTTATGTTGACCTGTATATAGAACATATAAACTCAGCTCTTGTTAAAAGCTGTAAGCAGAAAACAGTTTAATTAGTGAGGAAGGGTGGAAAGGGGCCTTTATAGCAGTAAAAAATTCTATATCAAAAGTAAATGCCCATCAAATAGTAATTACGAAATTAACAAATTTACGCCAAATGAAAATATACAGAAGTTATGGTTTCAGGGATGCTGGAAGTACATAAACTGATATTTTGTGCCAGAATAAATTGTGGAACAGTAGGACCTGTGCACCATTTATTATGAATTTTATATCCACTCCTTTATTTTGGTCTCCATGGCAATCGCGCACATTGATCGGCAATTGTTACTTCAATACACCCTCTATTGGTAGTTTCTTGAACTAGGCAGAAACTGTAAAGATTCGAAGACAGGGGAGTGTGCACTAAGTGTCCATGTTCCACCGCTTATTTCAATTAAATGGGATATCAACTCTTTAAGGTAAGTTCATTATTATGTATTTTATAATTGTTGAAGTACAGTATAGTATAGTAGGAAGATTTGTTTGGATACTAGAAGGAACGTCTATGTTGTGTTTCTGCTCTAAAATGACAATAATGACAGTCCGGCAAATTGATTTTTATAACGAAATTTATGCATAAGATATTATGTTAATTGTGATTTTTAAATGGTTAATTACGTTACGAGAGATTGACGTTTATAATTATTATACAAATTACTGATTTTTTAAGTGAAAAGTTTAGAAGATATGAAATTGCCTTATATGGGTTAAGTGTTTTAATAAGATACCGGTATGTAAAATGTTAACTGCCTGTTATTAATTGTGTTGTTTAATATAACGAGTGTTTAAGGAATTAACACAGTATAGTGAATTGTTTGCCACCTCATCTGAAATTACGACTCTGTTGTGGTCGTCTGCTATCGTATGCCGTAGGAAGTTCTGGCAGTACACAAAGCCGTGTATTTTACGTATATCCATTTTTACAAATCGTACTTCTAGTATCTCGTTTTTCTTCCTGGTGTCTAATTGAGGTTCGGACTTGTCTACGCTCCCATGGAACAAGGGATGGTGTTGACAATCGATGCTCAGTTAGTTGCTGCTGCAATAAATTCGCCTGTAATTGGGCCCAGGAGCTGCTTTTACGGAAGCTTGTGGGAATGCCTTCTACGTTGATTGCATCGTTAAATAGCCTGTAGGGTAACAGTGTCTGATAGTTTCATGATAACGGCTTGGCCTATATCCTTGAATATAATGCTAAACATAGAGAGAATATTAAGCTATTTTGTTCACACATTAGTGATTATCATGTGGAATTGTAGCACGCAGCTCCGATTCGTCTACAAAAACTAACCGCTCGACTTCTTAAAAAGACATTGTGTTGACTTATTTTTATAAAAAGTGCCGAATTAGGCTGCCGATTTCTACACACGTATAAAGTATTAATAAGCCGTGTTCACAACAATTTTGTCTTAACATTTGTGTTGGTGATAATACAGTATTAAATGTTAGCTTTTAGAAGTCCATCCGACAAGCCGCCAGAATTTGTGTATTCACCGCCCATATTAGCAATTTTGTTAATCCGTACCAGTAATGATATATTCCCTTCAGATTTTCTGACGAAAATTTTGTTTGCAGCGTTAAGTGTTTTTGGTAGGAAGTTAATTTTTATGTTTATTGTGTGGTGCCAGTTTGAAAATTAGTTAGTAGTATTCTTGATAAAAGAAAGCGTTTATTTAACTACATTTTATTTGTATGCCATTGTTGTCTCGTAGAACGTTGGAACTTGGTTGTACTGTAGGAAAGAACGGTATTTTCTTCAGTTGCATCCTGATTAATGCATGAAGTTTTGTTTTGAAGCATGTTTTATATCGTATCGCCCTTGAACAAGACTTCGTGTTGTATCTTAAGGCCTACGTACGAAGTTTGATGCGACATCCAGATACCGTGTTACAGGCAGCCCAGGAGGGGCCGTGCTGAAAGCCAGGTGTCTCGATTGTTTGGGGTGGGGGTTGGGGGGGGGGTGTTACGTGCGCGTATAAATAGTTTTCTGTTTAAAATTTGTAAATATGTGTATACACTATTAGCGTTCAGTTCAGGATATCAGTAAACGAAAGTTCAAACTGTTGCTGTCATCAGTTTAACTGCAAGAAACCGTCTTCCTGTAAACCAAACTGTGCGTGATTCGAGTATCAACAATTGGATGCCTTGAACATAGAAGGAAAAGGAAAATAGAATTTAATGGATTACTGTAACACAACTTCCGGTGTTTGACAACTTTTCACTGCCACGTTCTTGACAGTTCATTTTAGATTCTTCTCAATATACAAATTTACGTTCTGCACTTGAGTTCTTTTCTGAAAAAACTAATCAGGGCTCACAAATATCAGAGCCTGATAATTGGTTGCTAAACAATCGAGCTTCACTTGCATTCCACTTATGATTGTTAACGAGTTTACCAGTTCCAGCTCGCATTTCTCATCTCGCTCATGAGCGCTACATGCTCCGCCCATCTCGTCCTCCTTGATTTGATCATCCTAATAATATTTGGTGAGGTCCATCCCCACTAGGTCCAAATGTTCTCCTCAGCGCTCTGTTTTCAGACACCCTTCATCTCTGATCTTCCCTACGTATACGTGAGAGACCAAGTTTCACACCCATACAGAACAACGGGAGAAATTTTTCGACCATTGTCAAAGGTTTTGTGCAATTATGAGAATAAGAGAAATCTCAGAATTATTTTCACCTGCACGTTAACACCCCTAATTGTTTGAGCTGTGATGATGTACTAATCATCTGTGAGCTCGTGGATTAGGAAGGCGACAATCGTGGCAACGTTGTAGGCTATCCTGAAGAAAAGATAAGATGGAAAGTGTCAAATTTGAATCAGCTTTAAGGCATCGTTGTGAAACTCCTCAAATCGCTTTGTTCGCTCACCTCACGTATTCCTATCTGATGTTCAGTCCTAGCCAAGATCATCATGACACAACGATACGTCTGAATATTCAGAATTCTGGCGGAAGTGGAGAGGAACACGTCTTGCTGAGCTGTCAGTCGCTCAGCTGTTCATGGAATTACTCTTGTCCTCTGATACCCTCAGTCTGTATTCCTTCGCTTGAGTCAGAGATAAGTTTTTCACCCATACAAAACCACGCATAAAAATCGTCCTATTAGGACAAGGAAAGACAAATTTTCTGTACTGCAAAGAAACAAACATTTCTCGAACATAATCTGCTCTAAATTTTTTCGTGAATGAAATATAAGATTCTTACTGTCGTCTGTCTTATTTTTTAGGGTTTTGCTAGCTCTGTAAATGCCTTAATTTCTGACGAAGAAATATCGCGCGTTCTTTTATTTGTTATATCCAGAAGTTACAGGGGTCATATCGGTTTCCGAAGATGGTTAACGAAAAAGTAGTTGTACTCTCTTGAGTGCGATGGCCGATGGTGTAAGTTTCTTTCCCACAGGGTTTTTGAAGTCGGTGTTGTGTTCCGAAAAAGGACAGTGCCCTTTTTGGGTCATATCAGATATAAATATTCAGGGATAAGGCGTGCCTTGGCTTGTCGTGGTACATCGATTCACATCAGCGATGGAGCGTAGTCGTTCTTAATGGAACGCTGTCCGTGTCTAACTGAACCCTCCTCCGTTGGCTGACAACGGTGGAATTGTAAAGACAGCCTGAAATAATATTTTCAGACAATTTCTTCACCCATTATCGATGGTGTTTTGGCTTCACGATGAACTGTGCCACCAGACATTGTCATGGCTTTCGTATTACTGATTTATAAACGGGTTTTTTGTTGTTGAATATTTATGAAGGATTTAATAATTTTTGGTGATGGTGTTCCGGGTTGTAGCGCCGTGTAGTGTGGTAGAAGTTAACCGACGTTTCGGAGGTACTTTCTGCCTCTATCATCCGGGCGATGAATGATAACTCAGTTTAACTTGGATAACGATATTCATAGGCGTGTTATGGGCGCAGTTTTCAGTGCTGTGGCGGAATAGCTCGTCGGGGAAAAGGAGATCGAACTACGATCTCACTGTTCTGGACCTCGCAAGACCACGCGATGTCTTATACCTGCTTATGATTTGCCACTGCTCTCGAGTAACTTGGAGTGCCTGAGGAAGCTCGGGACGTAGAAGTGACCTAGGTTAACGTTCAGTTTTATAGAAACGCTCGCCGTACGGCATCGACGCCCAGCGTTGATATGGCAACGCCGCGTTGTGTCGTCACAGGGATCGATATTATTATGAAGCTTCATGCTTTCTATAAACCACTGTAAAAAAACATCCCGATCAGACTAAATATAGGTTTTTGGTGTCAAAATTAGTCACGGCCTTGTGTTTGACGACGTCTATTAGGTCCTCGGGAAGGCGGAGACAGCTTGGTGGAGGGGTGTGACTGTTCAGGGGCAGCTGGACTGGGAGCGTAGGTCAGGGGTCGCACGATGTGACCATGGAGAATTCAGAACCCTGTGGGTCTCTTCAAGGGTTGTAATGTTCTGAGTTCACTTCATCTAGCAACAGTAAGGCATAATTTGTGTGAACACATGAATTTTTGGGGCGGAAATGACGGAGGGGAATCCCCAGTCACAGGCCTAGCCACGTTGGGGAATCCTCAGTACCTACCATACTACACTGCTCAGAGTCCCACAAGACAGCTATTTTCATTGGTAAATGCCATTGGCTCCAAGACAGAATGTGTCTGAGAGGACTTTCGCTTCAGATCTCGACAACAGATCGGCTACTTTCGTGATTTTTCTCAGTTCATGAGATAAGTTACTTTTCCGTGGAGCGGGGCCCTGCAGGTGCGCAGAATCACGACTAGTCCTGCCATTAATTGTAATTAAATTTTATTTTACAGAAAACCATTACGAATTTACGATTCACGGGCCACAGTATCCCGTAGGCCGTAAGATGCCTGATTTCGTCTCTTCTGCATTAACTTCCAACAAATCATTACCGGAGTTTAAAGTAGTCTGTCGTCTTGGATGGGGCTGAGATTTTGAAGAGCGCGATAACTGGGTCTCGTAACTTACGGAACAGCTCAGGAAGACAGAGGGCGTCACCCTTAGGCGTTGAGTTGTAATCCTCGTACTATACTACTACTTCGTTGGATGTGACCCAGGCGCAGTGTCTCATCTGTTGCTGGGTTCCGGGTCAGAGCCACGGTAGCTCACTGTCATTCCACTACTTACGGACGTCTCACTGGGGGGCCCTTTGCCTGGGTGAATAGCCTCTGGTGTTGAGAATACATGGAGCTTTACCCCAGTTCCGACCAACGTCTTCATGAACTGATAATCGGTACAGAGGTAGCGTACTTTCCATCCTCAGAAGAGTGTGCCCCTTAGAAAACCACGCTGTCTGTATGTCCCAGTTTCAACTTTAGAACCAGTTAACCGATTTACATGAAACTTTGCATGAAAGGTTATGCTATTGAAGACCACCCCAACCTCGTACTTTTTAAATTCTTATTAACTAACTAACTAAATGGCTTACAGAACCCGAAGGTTCGTCACCGAATTAACCAAAGCCCTCCACCGGACTCTGTCCTGGGCCAGCAAAATCTAGTCTCCTTCAACTCCTATCTCCCATAGATCCCGCCTGAGATTATCCTCCCATCTACGTCTAGGTCCCCCAGCGGTTCTTCCCCTCAGGCTTCCCACACCTCTTGTCCCATCCATGCGCGCTACATGCCCCGCCCATCTCATTCTTCTCGACTTAATCGCCCTGACAATATTGGGGGAGCAGTACAGATTTTTAAGCTCATTATTATTTTAAATTCTTACAGTCTTGCTAAAGGTTGGTTAAGTAACTTTCGTTTTTATTAAATTTTTTGTTGTTTAAGCTCGCCGTATATCTCTTTCCGGATTGAAGAACCTTATAGGTCTAAGGTCAAATGTGGGTAGCTAGCCTCGTTCAGGACGATCGGAAATAAGTACGTCATTAATAATCCAATGCATCGAGAAGTGGCGTGTTCAGAAACCATTTTAGACTACATCTATCTTTTGTTTCAGGTCGTTAACTACTTTCTGATAGTTAATGACACGCCTTTTGATTACTTAAGTCACTCCAGTAATGCTTTTTTTTTTTTGTCAGTGCACGACGAAATATGGATCCGTCTTTTTACACACTGTAATGATGACGGCTAAATCCGATTGTAATCATAACCCAAGTTGAAATTGGCTGTCTTCTGGGTCGTTGCGCTGTGTGTTTACGAACGTTTCAGAGGTACTTGCTGCCTCCATCATCATCGCTGTGATGACGGAGGCAGCAAGGACCTCTGACCTCGGACTCACCGCCGTGGAAATCTCAAATCGTAATCACCAAGCTGAATTACGTAAAGAAAAATTATGTCGTGTAAACAAAGAAAGTTAAATTCTTCATCAAACTACGTAGGCCCGTCTCCTCTAGTGGCACTGGGCCTGTATTCTACAGTCTCTGTGATTCTGTAGGTGCCACCATGCTGGTACTGACCGAACACCTCATCAGCTCTCAGTTTCCATTGATTTCGCACTCCGGGTCGCAGCGATTCCGGCAGACTCTTGTTATCGGGAGGTCCGAGGCTAGATGGTGCGTAATGACTGGGCCAGTATTGATTCGAGTAGACTGGCGGTCCAGAGGACGTTCTTAATTGCTGTAATTCAGTGGCAGAACTGAGTCTTCCTCAGGCAATCTGAAAGACAGATTTCGGTCGGCGGTCCAGTCTGCTGTGGGCTTGTCGTCAGACTGTGATTGGTTGTTGTCCCTGACATCAACGTTGAATAGGTTTTACCACTGTCTATTTTGGACTGATGTCAGTACGCGCGCATTTCTATGGAATTCGTCCAGTATGTTTCCACAGTTTTCCACAAGGTGGCTCTCGAGTATCTGGAAAAGTTTAGAAAATATTTCGGGGGTGGAGGTTCTCAGATTTATCTGAGAACCTCCACCCCCGAAATATTTTCTAAACTTTATGGCGTTACTTGGCTTGAAGCACGTTCCAGCTGTAATTGAAGCTTGTAGTTACGAACATTTGCTCTCGGAAAGGGAGTTATATATGAAACACGCAAACTTTCAACTCTGTAGCGATGTAGCAAGAGACCAGCTGAGGGGCTCTTCACAAGGAGGTCTCTGCTGCCTAAAGGCGCTGACAACCTAGTAATGCACGCGAACTAGCACGAGATTTTTAATCCTCAATTCTTACAGTAAAAATTGGCGTTCACTGCGGACCGATTTTGTATGCTGGGGATCCGCGGGTCGAAGCCCGATGTCCCAGTTGCTGCCTTATGAACGTGGCATGCCCCCGAACTGACCAATTCTTCTTCCTTCTGGCTTTCCAGTTGTCCGAATGTCCGCGTTCATCGAATGGAGGGCGAGGCCTGAGTCCATTGCAGTTGTCTGAGGCGTTGTTCTGTGTGCAGGGTCGGAGGAGGATGCCGCCATTAGCCTGATATGGAATGCTAGGTTCACGCTATGGCCTCGTCGGCTCCCAAGTCGAAGCTGAGCAGCTACATACAGCGGCGTATGGGACCTGCACCGTTCGCTTCATTCGAGGACCTGAGCGACGACCTGGAGAGCCCTGAAGAGAAGTTGCCCCTGTCACGGCCTCTGCCAGGAATCAGGGAGGACATGACCCTCATGTCACCCGGATCTGCGGGGGGCGGCCTGCAAACCCCGTCCACGCCACGGATAGACATCTCTCGGGCGAGTAGTTCGTCTCACCATGACAGCAACAACAGCAGGGACAGCTCCCCCGAGAGGGAGCTCTTTGCAGG